AGCTGCACTGCTTAAGCTGCTCTAGCTATAAGTCTAGTTCAGCTTTTACTGAAACTCCTTACTTAGGGAATTAGTAGTGGAAATAGTCTTTATAATATACATACATATATAATGTAAAAAGAGAGTATTATTTAGTTTGTTATATTTTCCATTTAAGCTGGGTTAGGATATTTCATAGTCAGGCATTGCCTTTACAGAATTTTGTTGCATTGGGCCATGGCTTAGTTGAGTACGAACAATACAGACAAACAAAAAAACTCAACTTGGCATTTGGTTCTTTGTTGTCTGAATCAAAGAAAAAGCGAAACATACCCACACATTCACACACACACACACACACACATGCACAGATTTAATGCATATAAAGGATGCCAATAGATAGCAATAGAGGCGAGTGACTCACTCAGCAGAGCCTGTCGCACTTGAATGACTGCCGGACTGCCTGATTGATGGACTGATGGACACACTGACTGAGTGACTGACACGCATTGTCTCTGGCCAGGCTCACATTTCTTTACATTTTACATTTAACATTTAATTCGTTTTTCTCGCTCTCAAAAAGTTGTCGGAAAAACTACAATTTGAGTGATGGAACGAATTTGCATTCGACATTTTATGATAGAAGCGAGAAACCGAGAGAGCGCGCGAAAGGGAGAGAGAAAGACTGAGAGAGAGATATATATCTATTTAGCCTCTTAGTCTCAGCCAAGCAACTAATTCACTTAATTACCGTACTAAAAAATAAGAAAAAAAAATTCAAATTACCTTCGAAATGAGAAATGTTTTAGAAACGCGTTCTTATATCATCATCAAACGAAATTATTTCGAATTATGTCATTAAATAAACATTCTAAATTAAAATGTTTTCTATATGCTTACAGCTGCTGACAAATAGTGCTGTGTGCTTATTTAAACTTAATAATCGTTAAATAAAATATTTTTAAAATTTGCTAAATTAATTAATTAACAATTAGGAATTTTTAAAAAATGTTTGTTAATAGTTATTAAGTTTTCAATAGATAAAACAAAACTATTTTTTTAATATATTTACTTTTATGATTATACAGTTAAGCTAAAAACATTTTTTGGAATTTTTTTGTGAAATAAAAACGAAATTTTAGTAGACAAAGAAATTTTTTAAATTCTTGTTATTTTTTTTTTTTTTTGTATTTTTACCATTAAGAATCTGAATAACTTAATAATGCATGCATATGCATAAATCAATATGTCTATATATCGATTGATAGCTGACAAGGCAATATGCAGATAGATATTTCTATTAGGGCAGAGCAGACAAGCATCTGAAGACAAAGATGCTGAGATAAACATAGATTTACGATTCAATAGCTGAAGTGAGCGGGCAATAATCATCTGTCGCTGCATACATTTGTCCAATATGAAATATACATATACATAAGAATATATACGTATATATATATATGTCAATTATAAAAATTTATTTTTAATATGCAATATCTATATGATATCCCTCTCTATCTCTCTCTCTCTCTCTTGCTCTGTGTGATTTCTGACTACTTAATTTCCAAGTGCCATAAAAATGTGAATGCCTTTCGGAATGGAGAATTGAAAGCCCAGCGTATTTGGGCGTTGAAAAATAAGTTGGCTTATTTATTGTGCGCTGCTTATAAATATTTAAAAAGCCTGCAAATGAAATAAACAATTAGTTTATTTATTGACACACTCGCACACACTCAGACTCCGATTCATTATAGCTTTTTTCTTCATTTCATTTTCTTTTATAAATTAAAATATGATATACATTGACTTATAGCTGAGCTGTGTGGCCTAAAGTGCCCATGCTGAAAGGCATTTGCATTTGGAGCCCTTTGCCCAAGAATATGAATCACAGTCTCAAGCCATATAATTGTATAGCTAAATAAATACATAGATCTTTTTGTTTATGGAATATTCAGCACAAATTTGAGGCACAGCGTGAACTATTTGAAAATTCTAACAAGGTTTTGCGACACACGAGCTCAGTATTCGTGAAGTGTTTAAGCAAGCTATTGAGCATATATATAATTATCAAGATATATCCGCATGTATATACAAAATATCATGACGTATTCAACATATATATGTCATGGCCTGAGCATTTTGAGCAAGCTCTAGTTATGCTTCACATGAAGTCAGTTTCTTCACTTTTTTGTTGTAATTCGCAAAGAGTTTAGGCATCGAGTGTTATATGATATGAAACTCTATATGGCGGTTATATGGGTTAAATTATAAAAGCAATATTACATGAGTCCATTGTCAAAAACTTCTTCACTTGTAATGTTTTTTATAGGAAAACTATATGGGGAAATAGATATATCTAATAGACATAACTATATGTTATGCATGCTATACTACTTAGGTATGTCAAAAGCTAGAGGATACAATATTAATGACATATAGATATAAAAAGTCTACACAACATTTACAGCATTCCTAGGCCAAAATTTGCCAAGATGGATAAAGTTACAATACATATCTAAGATTCCCATTGCCAATTTAAATTTCCCAAGCAATCTATCGCCTAAATGGCTCGTCTATTATGATCAAACTGTACTTTTAATTTCGTAGCGCTGCAGCAAACATATGTTAAATATGGCAATTAATAAATAAAATGCGTCTATTTCAAATCAAATTCGAATTCGAATAGAAATTCAAATACAAATTCAAATTCACATGCGAGTTTCAGTGCCCCACCAGCACCGCCGGCATTTTGAGTGGCCGTTGATTTAAAACATACATTGCGGCCTTTAATTGTGGCGCATTTTTGTCGAATCCGTAGAAAGAAGCAACACCAGCCACATTTCGTTTCCTTTTAATGAAAACAAATTTGATCGAATGGCTGCGAAAGAGAGAGGGAGAGAGAGCCACGGGGGGAAGGGAGATTGGATTTAGAATACCTAAGAATCAAATCGAATAACGAACAACTTGAAAGAGGAGCGCGCGAGCGCCCTGCACAAATGGGCATTATGGATTGGTTCTATAGATGGGTGTAGAGGCTCTATATGTATACTCATCTGGTACTCAGAGGCTGAGGGGGGCCCACAGGCGGAATTATGATTTGTGTAAATGTTGCCTGTGATTAAGCACTTTTAAGTGTAATTCGGTGATGTATGTAGCCTGTAGACTGTTGTTGTAGTTGTAGCAGTAGTTGTTGTTGTTGTTGTAGTTGTGATAGAGCACACATACTATAAATAGCAAACGGCCAGAAGATGTTTGCCTAAACCATAACTAAAATCTTTATAGCTAAAGAGATATGCGAGTGTATTTGTGCATGAGCAGGGGTTGGGCTGGGGCACTACTGGGGGTTAGGGGTACTATGTATGTGAGATCTTCACGATTGCGACTGCGGCGGCTGTTTAAAGTCAATTTTTGAATAATTATGAATCGCTTTTCAGTCGTGCTGCTGCTGCTGCTGCTTCTTCTTCGTCTTCTGCTTCTTCAGCTTCTTCTGCACATTTTGTTGTTGTTCTTCGCTAATTATAACAACATCATAATCATAATAATTTCTTATGAGTTGTATTTTGGCTAGCTCTTCGTCTGTTCTTAATGTGCCAAATATATTTCTATCTATTGAGCCAAAATTGCGAATATTTGTCCAACACACACACACACACACAGCAAATGTTGCCTCAATATGCAAATGGTGCAGAGAGATTTTTAAAACTGAAGAAAAAAACTATCCGAAATGAATTATTGAAATCGATTCGAAATGCGTTTGTAAACTAACCAAAATCAAATTATGCGATTTTCTAAATGCAACTGCAAGTAATATGCACACACATACACACACATATATTGCATATGTATATATAAATACAGTTCTAAAACTGTTTGGCTAAAAAATCAAATATATTTATAGCCGATATATTGAATATTGAGGAGGTTAAACTAAAGTCTAATATGAGAAATGCAAGAAGCGTGTGTGAAAATCAGAGAAAACTGCGAGAAGAAGCAAAAGAATTTCTCAATATTACATTATAATACTTTTAAGAAATATACAACTAGAATACCCTTTGTAATGCATTGAATAGAATGTAGGCTTTTAAATACAGATTGGGAATAGTTAAGATCTTTGAAACTAAATACGATCACAGTTATAGCAATACTTGCTAGAGAACTACAATTGAATCTTTCTATAGAAAACATTAGTTATAGCTAAATAGTATAGAAGAAATACAATAATAAAGAAAATATATTATATTACGATATTACCAACAGCTATAGATTGACTTCAGGAAGTAGAATTATAATTAATGTTCTCTAGCATTATAAGGATTAATTACAATGAAAATGCATGTAGAAAAGAGAAGCAAATAACAACAAATTAACTCAAATCAATAAAAATCGAAATTACCTGGCAATTTTGCTCAGTGTATTGATGCATAGTTTATAAGTTTATACAGAAAGCGGAAGTTCTTTAGACGTCACTTGCACTTTATTAAAATGATTTCGAGCAAATAATAAAGAGATGTGAAAATATGTGGATGCTTAAATCACGGCTCCTTATATAGTTTTGTGCTTAATCAAAATCGCCGGAAATAAAAAAATAAAAATTAATATGCAGAGATTAAAGCGATTTATATGTACGCCATGGCGTACATGGGAGGGCGGGAATGCGTGCGACAGAGCCATAAAATTGTTTATAATATAACACACACACACACAARCACACACACATTGATACACGAAGACAGCTATACTAATGGCTGTATAATACATGGGTATATATCATATACTTTGGCTTGTTCAGTTAACACTTTGCTTTAATGACTAAGACTAAGGAGCGCCCCTCGTCTGCTCGAAGCAAAATATTTTTTTGTCAATAAAATAGAAATTAGCGACGCTGAATCACAAATTCTAGTCAGTCTCTGGCTGTACTATATATGTATGGATGTTTGCATGTATGTATATGTACTATATAAATATAGATATTATTGTTGATTCTTATGCCCATATTTGAATGAATAGTTCGAGTTATTTACCATTTTGTATCGGCTTGGCTTGGCTTGGCTTATCCACGTTTATAATCCCAGCAAGAATTCAAAGGTTGAAATGTTTATTAGATTTATTTTAGATATGTATTTTATATTTCTTCACTTTTAGCACATATTCAAATGTTTGCACGTTGCAGCTGCTGCAATTTTTATTTGATTTCTTGTTGCTGTTGTTGTTGTTGTTTCTGTTGTTATTATAGTTGTTTTTATCACTTTGTTCAAATTGTCTGTCCGTTGCGCGCGTGCCGAATAATAAACAAATTAAGTTTAGCGCTAATTACAATTGCCGATATATGTGCATATATATTGTCAGCGTTATGTTTAATACACATGTACACATAAGTATATATATATAAATATATTTAAGTGTATTGATATTATTGTATTGACTTGGATATATATCAATTATTATAGAGTATGCAACAATGTAGCCGAAGCCGGGTATGCCGCTGCGCGCGCTCGTGTTCGCACTGCTGCACGTTTAGTCAATGACTAAAGGGCGGGCAATTCAAAATTTTTTAAAATTCATCAATGCTGCTAGCAGCGACAGCGACGCCAGCGGCAGCGCCGACAGCAGCGTCGCGTCAACTCTAGCGTCGACAGCAGCAAACACACAACAAAAACCAAAAACTAATAAAATTAATTACAAACGCACACAAACACATTCATACACAAGAGCAGCCGAAGATGCCGACCGACAACAACGACGAAACGAAGGCAAAGAGCACGAACAAAAGCCGACAATGCGACGTGCTACACACGAAGTTCTCGTTCTCTGGAATCACAACAACAACCAGTACCAGCTCAGTAGCAGCGACGGCGACAGCGACAGCAAAGGAAACGGAGCATGGAACTAGAGCTGAGAGCGTGTCGCGAGCTCATGCTTCGTTTTAGTGTGTCTGTGTAGTTGCTACTGCAGCATAATTTGTTAAGCATTAACAAGATATATCGAATGCTATCGTTTACAGGTTGGGCGTTCATCTCTAAAGGGAATCTACGCTGTGCGCAAAGAGAACGTTTAAAAATGTGCACTGCTCTTTGCTGCCTGTGCTCTCTTGGCCATTTGAATGTGGGCCAAAAGTAATGACAATAGCGGCGATTGTTTAGCTTGAATTTTAACGTACTTTGCAATGCCGCCGCTTGGACCATTGCCAACTTATGTCTAGCTAAGGCGCGCTCTCTCTTTCTTGCTCGGTCCCGCTCTCTTTTGGCATGCACAAATACACTTGTATGGGTTATTGCGCTCTTGCAGACGCTGAGTTTCATTGCCTGTGTGTGCGTACATGTGCTTGGGCTTATGAGTGGGTGTGCACATTGGTGTTGCTTGCCAAATGAGCCAAGCAAAACAAAAAGGCAAAAATATAGTATGTTTGTATGTATGCATGTACATACACATGTACGTTTCTACGCTTGTAGTGGGAATAAGAACAAGCGTTGCACCTCGCCCTGCGGCGCGCTGCACACTCTTCTCACTCTATCTCTCTCGCTCCAGCACCCACAATCACTACCAAGCGAAATATGCAAACAATTTTTACATTTATGGCAAGGCAATGACGTTTGCTCTGCAGCTAAGAATTTTTGCACCGATCTCGTTTTACATTATTTACTTGTGGGAATAGATTTTTAAAATCACAGCTGCACAAATACATATGCAGACGCATATACATATATACGTATATTTAACATATAGCATAAGTTTGAGCGTGCTAGAGTGCGGGCTTTGGCACCCCTAAGTAAGTAGCATTGTGTGCACTTTGTTTCATTATTCTCTATCCTAAAATATAATCGTCGCTATAAAGTGTCCTTTTTAATTCACACACACACACACACACACAAACTCACATTTCAATTGCGCTGCGTTGAGTAACTAACCCTCATGATGTGAACCAAGTTGCAGCCGTTATTGCTACAGCTATCCATAATTACACAAAAGTCTAACATATATCGCATATAAGCCGCAGCGCAGCGCATAAATCGCAATTAATCAAGTGCAAGCCAATGCCGTTAACTCCCTGAACACCCCTCTCCGACGTCATCGGTCCGTGCTATGTGAACAGCAACAGCAGCCCAAGCAACCCTCAACCCAGTCCAACACAGTCCAACGCAGCCCAACCAAATCCCATACCATCAAATCCCGCAATAAGAACAAGAAAAAGTTCAACTGCTGCTTTGAGCTGAACAACAATTACAAGGCATTCTCTCTCGCTCAATCATGCTGCATTGGCCATCGCATTCGCACTCGCTCTCGTTCTCGCTCTCCCCCACTCTCCCACTCTCACTCGCAAAATGAAAGCTACTAAAACTGTAATCATTATGCTTTATCGTAATAATCAGCAGCCGCAGCCTAGGCAAGTTTTGCCCAACAGCCAGCAGACGGCGCACACTTGTGCACAGCATACTCACAAGCACACACACACAATCGTACATGCATTGCGAGAAATATAAGTACTACATTCTAACATAACAAACAGGCAAACAAACAAAACTAAATTACAACAATTCCAAAAATTTATAATTGTGCTGCGCACACAGTTAGAAATCTCAAACTACCACCAGCAGTCGCAGCCACCCTTTCCACCAGTGCCAGCCAGCCACCTCTCCTKCCACTTCTACTTCCCCTTCAACTACCTCCCTCCATTCCCCACAGTCTTGTTCATGCTCATTCTGAAGCTCTTATTCGGCCCTCAATCATCATCCTCATCATCATCCTTTTGGCTTGCCTTCTTGCCTTACGAATTCGCCATGCTCTCGCTCTCTCTCACTCTCACTCGCTCTCCTCCTCTGTCACTGCCATTGGACTGCGACGACGACGACGACGTCGTCGCAACTAACACAAAAAAAAGGCAGTTAAGTTAAAATGTACTTAGAGTTTAAGCGTAACCCCGAAATCCCGACCGAACCCAAACGAGATTGTGTGTTTTAAGCGTTTTAGTTGCCCGCTTGCACACCCTACGGCAAGCGACGACGGCGACGGCGACGGCGATAGCAACTGCGACTGCGACTGCGACAGCAAAGTCAGCGTCGACTTTGACGTCGCTGCTCACTGCCGCTGCTCAACTCTGGCAGCAACAACAACAACAACGAGCCGAGCCAAGTCAGCCAGCCAGCCAGTCAGTCAGTCAGTCAGCCATCTTGTGCGGCGTTATTAAATTTTATACAAATACTAAAAATGAAATCAAAATTTTCTTATTACAATGACTATTTTCTCTCGAACAGCTGTGCGCCCGCCCGAGCAGGGACCGACAATGAGTCCCGGGTCCGTTTCTGAGTTTGTCTTGCTGGTTGCGTTGCGTTGAGTTGGGTTCGGTTGGCCCGGGCTGGGTTGGGTTGGGTTGAGTTGGTTTGCCTTGGTTTGCTTTGCCTCGGTGTGGATGGGAAGCTCTTGAGTCGTATGGCCCGGGCCACCCACTCACCCACTCATCCATCCGCCTGCCCGCCTGTCCGCCTGCCCGCCTGACTGACTGACTGACTGTAAGTATGTTTGTCGAGTCGAATGAATTGTACTTATGCCATACTTATCGACTGCATTGTAAGGGATCCAAAGTTTTTTGGGTGTTGGCCCTAAAAATTGCCAGTTGCCCAGTTGTGGGCTGTGTGCGGGGGATTGTGGGCTGGGGTGGGCCGGAGCTTGGCTAAAAGTCCTGCAAATATTTTGTGCATTTGCCAAAAGCTATTCATAATTTCAATGCAGCCGTAGCAAAATTGCCATAAATTTAATTATAAATTTTTTAATTGTTATACGTTCCTTGGTAGACTGAACACGTTTTACGAGTTCCTGCCACTTCCTGCTGCTGTTGGCTGTTGGCTATTGGCTATTGGCTGCTGTTGCTGCCAAACAACTAAATAAATGAATTTCCATTAAAATAGATTCTACCTGTTTTAGATAAGCAACTCGCGCACACAATCTACTCGGATCCGCTGACTACCTGAGAGACATACTTAAAATTTAAATTAAACATCGCACGAAAAGGTCGAAAAAAAAAAAACACACACACACACACATACACAGAGAGAACATACGAAATGCCTAAACAAATTCTGATAAGCGTTGTGCAGATAGGCGCACAGGACAAGTGATGAATAATACCAATCACGTACCCAGGCTAGGCCAGGCCAGACCAGACCAGACCGGGCCACCTCCATCGACTGTCCGCAGCCTAATCAAAAGAGCATTGTAAACTAAGCCAAGACAAGACAAGACAACAGAAACGAATTCTAAAGGATCACCAGACCAGACCGAACCAGAGGAATTCGTCAAAATAGCTGCAACAAGACGCAGCAACGAAACTAATCAATCTACGTATGTAGACCTAGGTAATACCCTTTAGATTAGCCATAAAAGGTATTCAAGCTGGAGGCCGGGTTGCATATCATGCATTCAAAAATTTCACTAGTTATATAAGTAATATATCTATTCTATATACATTTTGTATAATTTCTAGCGAAATTGATTTTTAAGATCTGCACTACGTGACATTACGTTGTTTTCTAGAAATCTTCAAATTAGTTTCATGTTTATTAATGCCATTTATATTTCTATACTTTCGACATTTGTTTTACTCAACAGCTAGGATTGTTAGATCATATAGTTTATTGTTTTCTTAGTATTATCATCTACGTGACACACGTTACGTGATGTATTTGGCATTACAAATGTACTTGAGATTAGTCTTTCATTTATTCATTTATTTGTTATAAATTACAAATAGGAAATTGTATAAAGCACGATTTTAATCAAAGTTTACTCACATTATTTTAGTTTCTAGTAAAAGAATGATTGGAGAAAAAATATGCAGAAAATATTTAAAAGTTTTTGAACTTTGATATAGGGGCTTTAAGATTTTATATTCAAGTGAAACCCAATTGATAAACCCATTAAAAAAAGAATTTCGATCATGGTATATAATAATTATGAAATTCTACCTTATTCTATCACATTATATTATATTCTATTAAATCATTTATTGGGTTCAAGAAAGTAAATACATATTTCCCATTCAGCTTTAAATTAGCATAGTCCACTACATAGCACACACATACATAGATTTATGTTTAATCTTAAATTTTTTGCATTTCAATATAGAGCAGCTGAAATTTACAGGGTATCAAACAGCTTACTACTTTGTGCGGTCATATGGAAAATGCGTAATCTCACACCAACGCTGCAGACAAGAACAACAAATTAAGTGCCAATGCAATGCACACACACACACACACACGCACACAAACACACCTAGGTATACAAATATCAATCTCTATAAGGTCTATCTATGAACATGTTTCATGCGCATGCGCAAAGGCTGACAAGAAACGAAACTCGAATACTG